TATTATTATTATTATTATTATTATTATTATTATTATTATTATTATATGTAGTTCTTATCATTAAATGACAGAAAAGTTAATGATTTCTTAAATGCTAGATTACATAACTTTCCTCATAAATCCTTCAAAAAAAAAAAATCCTCATAAGTTACTCTTTCTCATCTTCATAATTCTTTAAAAGATATATTTTAATCTCTTTTTAATGTTAAATCTTATTACTATTATCCTGATTACAAATGTTTGCTAATATAGACAGTTACTTTTGAATAGTTATTAAAAAAATTTCCCTCTGTTTTGTTCTTAATCATTTTCAAAAATTTCCCTCTCATTAGGATAACTGCATTTCATTGGTTACTTTTATATTTCAAAAGTCATTAATGGCTCTTATATCTTACCACAACTAGTCTTAATTTTATTACTGGTTTTTAGTGGATTTGATTCCCTAAATGTTTTTTACTTTGCTATGCGTTAAACAGAGGCTGGTAAGGAAGGCCTTCCTTCCTTACTTCCTCTTGCTTAACTCATATCCCATGTCATTGCAATCCTATCTCAATATACGATAAGTTCATCCGTCTTGTTTTCTTAAAATTTCAATAATCTAGTTTTTTTTTCTTTTTTCTTTTTTTGTACTTTTTCATATATTTACATACTTTGCAAGTTCGAAATGGTATCTTCAATAGCCTTTTGATCTTATGATGTTTATTTCTTTATTCTTCTTCCAGGCAGTTAAATAAATCTTATGTGTTGTTTTCCTAACATCACATGATTTATTCATTCTTACATGCTCTTTGGATAGAACAAGACATTATTTGGTTGGATTTCTTTCCACCATGGATTGTATCTTTTGATACTTTCTTCTCAAAAAAAAAAAAAAAAAAATACAAATGGGAATAGCATCTGTTGCAAAGCAAACTAGTTCATCAGTAAAAAGCGCCAGAACTAGCGGGATTCCGAACCGTCTCTGATTCGTTACGTTGTTAGAAGTCCCTAAGGAATCTCCCCGCCATATCCAAAAAATCCAGAAAGCTTAGTACGCGCTTGTCAAACACCAGTACCTTACATTCCACGCCCACCATAATGACCAAGCTATCATTATAAAGGGGCTATTCGGGTGTGGTGTTTTTGAGTGAAAAATTTAAAAAAAGCAACTCGAGTTACAACTTTATTCGAGTTCATGTTCTTTTAAGTTTGAACTCGAGTTTGAACTCGAGTTTGGGACTAAAACTCGAGTTTAAGTTTCTCCTTCAACTCGAGTTTAGAAACTCGAACTCAAATTAATGAACAATATTTTTTCTATTCTTAAAAATGCTATAACTTTTTCGTTTTAATTCTGATTGAGATGATTTTTTTCTATGCGTTAACAACGAAGAGACGAATAAAACCCGTCCCATATACCCTATTAAAATTTTTTATCAGCATTGAGTTTTTATTAAAATACTATTTAAATACAAATTCAAGTTTTGACTCACTCAAACACAAACTCAAAAAGATTCTTATCTCAAACCATAACTCAAATGTACACAACCAAACACAAACTCAATTTATAATTTCAACTCAAGTTATAACTCAAACTCAACTCAAAATCTACACTCAAGTTACCTAACTCAAAAACATCAAAAGAACAAGCCCAAAGACTTTCAAGTCCATAATAGACTGACCCCGACCTAGCAACTTCCAAAAACAAACCACCAAAAGTAGCAGCCTTTACCCTCAGTTTTTTCAATAATAACAACACAGCACTAGTATCCCAAACTGCTGTAGACTTCGGGCACGCCCAAAGTGCATGCCAAATGGTCTCGTCCCCTTCTCGACATCTCGGGCAAGTGGTCGATACGTCGATTCCATGCCGACTTAGAGAAACTATAACTAGGGATAATAGAATGAAAGGCCCGCTGCTCAAAAAGTTTTTAATTTTACTTGGTAAGTTTATCCTCCCCAGCTTATTCCACGACCACATGTTTGAACAAGTGCACAGACTTCAACTCCATTGCCAACCTGTACCCACTTTGCACAGAGTAGAAACCTTTAGCATCATAATGCTAAATCAAGGAGTCATCTCACTCATGATTTGTAATTGGATGCTAAAGATGAGCTCATAATCAATATTGAGTTCCAATCCAGTGTATTAAACATGTAGTTTGTGGGATTAAATTATCACATAAAAGAAGTCTTAATACATGATGTAGTTTATGGGATTAAATTATCAAATAAAAGAAGTTAAGAGACTAAAGTACAAAACATAAAAACCTAAAATGCTGGTGTTACATGGTGAACTTTTTTATCTGAAGCAGGAACATTGCATCTTTTCAAGTTCCAGGACGTGGCAAATGCTGTGAATTCCAAAGCGAAAGAACCCCCAAAACCCAAAACCCAAAACGACAATGATGACGAAGAAGATGGTGAAGTGAAAGTTGTCGTTCATCGTGCGTCGTTGGTTGAGCTTAAAGAACTCTCTAATCTCTGTTATGTAAGTTTCTTCTTTTCTCTTCTCTTCTCAGACTTTGGACATTTCGCTTTCTATTATCCAAATTCCAATTTCAAAACGAGAAGGTAAGACTCGTCACTGATTACTTTCTCTTATTTTTGTGATTTTCTGATTCTTACTTTCTTTCTTTCAATTATTCCAAATTGGAAAAATGGGTGTCTTGTTTCTGTTTAATTGAAATTCATGTTAATTGTTTCTTAACGACCTATTTTGTTTAAGTGCCTGTATAATCTTAGACGATGATATTTAGGTAGAAGTATATAGAACGCCGATCATCATACACCAAGTTGAGTAAGTTTCTCACACATTTGATTGACAAATTTGAGTCAAATTAATTTTTACAAAGTACACCGAGTAGTTATTGATTATACATTGTTTGTAAATGTATCTTTATCCTTAAAGCGGAATTTTAGGATGAGGTGGGATTTGGGGGGGTGGGTTTTCTGACCGTAGGAGGAACAACATTGCCCAACCCAAAGGAGGTTCCAGTGTAATTTTTCCTTTCGACAATGCGAAAGTAACATAATTATGTTTCAGAAAAGACATTGGTGATCTTGATTCTCCAACTTTAACAAGTTGAATTGAAAGAGAATTAATTGTGGGGAAGCCCAATAAACAGCTGGGGGACTCATTTTCTATGTTGTTGTTGTGCTGCTCTTGCCTCTGTTTCCGAATCTAGTTTTTGTGATTTTGGAAGGTGTTGTTAATTGATGCAGTTGGGTGGCTTTGTGGATTTGTTCGTGAAAAGAATTCAGATTGTATGGTGCTTTCAGAGTTATCGAGGGATTGGAATTTCTTGTTGTAGTTTTTGTTTTTCGACTGGACTCTTCCTTTTCCTCTACTTAAAAAAGTTTGTTTCATTCAAAAAAAAAAAAAAATGGATGGAAGAGAGAAAACGTTGGAGCCTTTCATGTGGGCGAGGACTATACTGAAATTGGATATGGATGGAATCAAGAGCAGCAATATCAACAACAAACTTCATTAACAATAAAAAAGAAAGAAAATGGAGTTTTTAGGGTGGGGATCAAGACCCCTAATTGAGTTCTTGGAGTCCATCGGTAGAGACACCAGCCAGCCCATCTCTCAGTTCGACATTACCGCTATTGTGGATGAGTATATAAATAAAAATCTTCTCCAGCCAACAACCACAAATAATAATCACTATAATCTTCTGAACATGGTTAAGAATAAGGAAAATATGAAGAAGAAAAAGAGGGTCGTATGTGATGAGAGGTTGCGAGCCCTTTTTGGCAAAAAATCATTTAGTCGAGTAATGATTTACAAGTTGCTAGAACCCCACTTGGCTGCAGACAATGAACAAGGTGATTCTGAAGACGGCTACCTTTCATGGGGCAATGAAGAAGGAGTAGAAGCTAAAGGACAACAGGAAAAACACAAGAGATTGGTTGTTGAAACGTGTAATGCTAATCCTACACCTAAAAGTTGCTTTGCTGCTGTAATTCCCGAAAACATAAAGCTCATTTATCTGAAGAGGAGTATAATTCAGAATATTTTGAAGCAGGAAGTTGACCCTAAAACCATTGAAACCAAAATAGTGGGAAGCTTTGTGAGGACCAAGTCTGATCCTAATGACTATCGTCAGAAACACTCTCACAACCTCCTCCTAGTTGCAGGTAATATACTTTCCAATAAATGCTTGACATTTAACTCTGTTGTGGATTGAATATCATAGCAAATGTGTATAATATTTCTGCGTTCTCTAGGTGTGAAGATCTCTTCTGGGACTGGTGGTAGTAAATATTCTGAGATTCTACTTCAAGTTTCCGGCGTGATAAAGGACGTCCCTATTTGCATGCTTTCTGATGAAGATTTCTCTAAGGTAATCTATACATGAGAAAGCCTTGTGAATTATCAAATCCCAGTTTCTTGGCTTTCTGAAATGGTCTTTAATAGTGAGTAGTTTGTTTATTTCGGTAAAAGTTCTGCTTTCAGAATAATATCCTTTTAGTTTATTTTTGTCTTACCCTGGATTTTTTTTTTTTTTTTTTTAACTATGAAGTAGTTAGGAATCGACAGTTATACAATTTACAAACCTTAGAAAGGTTTTATATGTAAAACTAGGATGATACTTACTCCAAAGCTAACATGGAAATCAGTGAGAAGTTACAAAAAAGACTTATTGGAGGATCTTCTTCCCGAGTTAGTGGACGTAATTTGTTTGCTGTTTCTGTTGTCGAGTGGAAAGAATAAAGCCACTTGGAGGGAGACACCTCAATTGTTGTCCCTTTTTTCTTTTTCCCGAACTGTGAGACTCGTCTTTGGATCCAAACGTCCTGTGTTATATTGAGTTTCTAAAGACATAAATGAAAATCATGAAAGTGTGGTGTGTTTGTGATTCTTCTAACAGTACATTAATGTTTTCTTTATGTAGCATTCTTCATTTGCCTTTTGCATATAGGTTTAAGTGCTGACGCTTAGCCTCTGACCTCTCTATGTGTTTGAGGCTTCGGCCTCATTAACATTTAAAGGTTAAATTTAATTTTTTTGCTCGTGGTAATTTTAGGTCCGGGGTAAAATTTAGAAGGTGTGTTTGAGATTTACAGATATGATTGGTTGCTTTGGATATGGTTAAAGTTACATAGGGAGAGCAGTGAAGTCATGGTGGCTACATATTGCTACTCCGCTGCTTTCTTTGTTGTTTTTGTTTTTTTGTTTTCATGCTTCCATTTTACTTTGAGATCTCTTTGTCTGCACACCATCTAATGTCATGGCAATGGGTTCAGGAAGAATGTGAGGATTTGCGTCAAAGAGTAAACAATGGTATGCTCAAAAGACCTAAAATGGTAACTATTTTTTAACCAAATTTCATTTTTTTTTCTTCTCTTTCATATAATTCATGTATTCGTGCGTACAAGGACATTAGAAGCATCAGAAATTGAAAAGAAATTTCTAATAAC